ATCATTATCCCACTCCATCCCGAGTCACTTGACCACCTTGCCAGGCCACTGGGAAGGAGGAAAGCTGGAGGCTGAGACCTTCTGGCAACCTGAGTCGCCTGAAACAAGCAGAGCTGTGCAATGACCACTTAGCCAGGCCCTGAGCTGGTCTTCTGGGAGGAGCCAAAGGAGTAATGCTAACAGGGTTTGCTGAGTCCTTGGGTGGTGCACAGTTAGTGCACTCAACTGCTAACTAAAATGTTGGTGGTTCGCGTCTACCCAGAGGTACCTCGGTAGAAAGCCTGGCAATCTACTTCTGAAAAATCAGCCACGGAAAATGCTATGGAGCATAGTTCCACTCTGATACAAATACAGTCGCCATGAGTCAGTCGACTTGCCAGCAACTGTTTTTTGTTTTTACCTTCTTTGTACTCCCTCTACCCCCCACCTCCACCCCAAGGAAAAACCTCTGCACTTGCAGGTCCCTAGGGGGGTTAGGAGTGGCTGTCATTTTCCCCCTGGTGAAAAAGGGGAGAGTAGATCCCTGAGGGAGCTGATAGGATCCCTTTCTTGTCTTGCAAATAATTCAAGATTTAGATAGTTACTCCTCTGATGTTTAACTGGTCTTGTTTCAAGCAGGGGATGAAGTCGATAATTCTTCCCGACCCAGCATATCCTGCTTCTCTGGATAGGTTGATCTTGGTAAGAAATGCCTCCCTAGTTGTATTAACTACTTCTGGGATAGATCATCAAGGCCCCCTTCTACTGGGCACAAAACCATGACTCGGCCAAAAACAACTGGCAAGTTCAGTCAAAACATCCATCAATTCAGATGTTTGGCATTGTGTAGGGAAAACATCCAAATGACTAACTGAATTCAAGATTTTCAATCTGTTGCCTTGGCCACATAAGGAGAAAAGGATGAATCTTCAAATGAGCCTGACAAATTGGCAGGGAAGATCTGCCCAGGTATAGTGGAAGACTTGATTCTGCGCTTACAAACCAAACCAAACCCAGTGCCAACCAACAAGCTGGTTCCAGCTCATGATGACCCCATGCATGCAGAGTAGAACTGCTCCATAGCGTTTTCAATGGCTGTGACCTTTGGGAAGCAGATCATCAGGACTTCCTTCCAAGGTGCCTCTCTGGGTGGGTTCAAACTGCCAACCTTTTGGCTTGTAGTATAGGGCTTAACCATTTGCACCACCCAGGGCTTAAAATATAACAAAAGTTATTTGAAACTGCTTTCATTGGGTTAAAAAAATAGATTCATTTTTTTAAGATTCCTTCAATGAGGTAACAGATGATGAATTAGAAAAACAATGACATTAATTTTAATGTTTTGACTGAGACTTTTAAAAACATGAGAATGTGCTTGTTGTTAAAATTTTGAACTCTCTGTTTTCAAAGAATTTTACAAGTTGCCTTTTGTTACTATTTAAACCCCAAGCAAAACTGCATGTTCTGAGTCTGCCTGCCTGCCTGCTTGCATTTGGGCTGTTTTTGACCTTCTCAGAGAAACAATCTTCTGGATGAGATGTGGTTCTGGACCACTCAGTTTGGGATGCTGTGAGTCCATTCACTGAGGCTCCAGCCACAGAGCACTTATGGCAGGGACAAGGCTCAAAGCTTCAAGTTTGGGGGATCCCTTCCTTTGGTCTTCCCTCTGAGGTCCCTTCTTTGTCCCCCCCAGCCCTGGTCTAGCCTGCCTTTCATTACTTAATACTCAATGTATGGTCCATGGACCAGCAGTATAGCATCCCTTTAGAGCTTATTGGAAATTCAGAATTATAGGCTCCATCCCAGACTTACTGGTTCAGGATCTTCATTTTAACAAGATGCCTGGGTGATTCGTATGCACATTGGAATTTGAAAAGCACTGCTCTAACAGATTTTCTACCCTGCAGCCAGAGTCCTTTCTGAAGCATAAATCTGACCCTGTAATTGCTCTTCCAGCATGGCTAACTGGAGCATCTCTCCAGCCTCATCTCCTGCCTTTCCCCATAGCTCTCTAATCTCAATTGTGAAGACTGAGTTCAAGCCCTGGCTCTACCACTTACTAGTCATATAATCTTAGGCAAATCACCTGAGGTTCTATGATCCTCAGTTTACTCGTGTGTACAATGGGGACAATAATAACAGTCTCACAGGGTTGTTGTGAGAATTAAAGAGATAAGGAAGTGAGGGCTGGTACTCTCTCATTCAGTCTCATTTCTCCTTTTGCCCCCACCTCCACCTCTGCATATTCTGTTGACTGCTGACACCTTTGTGAATTTACATTTTAGAAATGAAACAGCAAAACTGATTGCTTTTGGAGGATACTATGCAGTGGCTAAGAAGAGCATGGCCTATACAATTAGATGGGCCACTTGTTCTAATTTCTATTCTTTCGTTTATTGCTGCATTCCTCTCTGAGCCTCAGTTTCCTCTTCTGTAAAATGGGGCTACAAGAAGTTGATGTGACAATTAGAAGAGGTAATTAATGCATGTGAATTACCTTGCATATGGAAACCAATCAATTAGTAACACAGTTCACTGTTATTACTATTACTATGATTACTCACTTACAGAAGCTCTCATAATCAAAGAAGTGTCATGGAGTGGGGGGAAATGCTATGTAAATATAAATCATTATAAATAATGCTAATATTTCCTGTACCTGGTTAAGACACAGCCTTTGGCAGCCAAATTAGTCCTAACAATTCATGCTCTGCTAGCACTCTGCCTATGGAATATTATTCTATACATTATCCATAGTTAATCCTTAACCTGGCACACCTTCCTCCTTTCAGCCAGCATACTCTAGACCACCTCATGCTGCATGGCTTGGCAATACAAGTGAATACGGCCTGAAGATCTAAAGCAGTGGTTCTCAACCCTGGCTGTACATCTGAATCACCTGGGGAGCTTTAAAACTGTTGATGCCTCAGTCCCATCCCCTAGAGAGTCACTTGATTGATCTAGGGTATAGTCTGGGCTTTGGGATTTTTCAAAGCTCCCCAGAGGATTCTAATATACAGTCAGGATTGAGAGGCACTGCTCTAGATGAGGAATCCCTGGATGGTGCAAACAGTTAACATGCTCAGCTGCTAACCGAAAGGTTGGAGGTTCCAGTCCACCCAGAAACACCTTGGAAGGAAGGCCTGGTGATCTACTTCCAAAAAATCAGCCATTGAAAACTCTACAGAGCACAGTTCTACTCTGACATAGGATCACCGTGAGTTGGAGTCAACTCGAAGGCAACTGGTTGGTGGTTGGCTCTAGATGGTGATGAAGACAAGTTCCAGAGAACTCCTTACTGGTTTACCACAGAGGAGAATACCTCCTGTAATCCTCATCCCAAAGATGGGCTGGTGGAGAATTCTAATTTACTTAGAAAGGAAAAGCTGCTGCTCCCAGAAGCAATAAAACCTCAAATGAGCCTGAAGCCAACAAACTAAATCCTTGATTAATGGAAATATTTTTCATCTCTCTACTTTTATGAAAACAAATCAAAACAGTTTAGCATCAGGGATTGAACGAAAAGCTTTAGGGTCTGTCCTGGGACCACCGCATGTCCACCTCACCTCGTCTCATGAGGTCCTAGTGGGGGCAGACCTCTCAGAGACACATGAGGAATCACACATACCCATCGTCTATGAAAGCCAACAGCACACACACACTCTAGTTTCTAAAGATGGACATAATGGGATGGTGTGCTTGAGAAACATTCTCAGCATCAAGGATGAAAACCAAAAAAGGTTTCCAATTAATCAAATACCTGAGTCTCTGAGGTTCTCGCCTTAGGAACCCTAGTGATTTCCTTCTTATAGAGGTAAGCTCATGAGGAATCCTAGGCCCCCATAGGGTTTCATTTCTTAAGATTCTGCAAAACAAACCAAGCAGGCATCTGCCTGCCCTGTTAACATAACAGTTACTACTGGCTGTGGAAGGCAGGTTGGCCCCTGGTTGCTGGGCTTACCTGTGGCCAGAGTGACCTGACTGCATTGTTAGCCTGACTGCACTGACCTGACTCAGATGTTGCCTGGACCTGAGGTGATGGGACCAGGCAGGGCTGGAGAGCATGGGAGGGCTAGTGCCATGCCTGGCTGGGAATGAGAAGCCATTCTGCCCTGGACAGTGACTCTCCCCTAGGTGTGTGTGTAAAGGGGGCTCTATGTGCCCAACCCCTTCTCAGGCTGAGAGTCATTGCTGGAATGAGTGATGTTATTGATGGGTGTCTACTGTACCTGTGAGCCATAAAAAGGTCAAGCTACTCATCCCAGTTGCCAAACACAACATGCCATCTGCTCACATTCGTTCCATCTGGAATGTCCTTCCCAGCGCTGAAGGCTAGCCAGACTCCTACTCAGCCTCCCAAGCACAGACCAAATGTCACCTCCTTGCCAAAGCCTTCACTCCTGGCATGATCAATCACGCCTTCCTCTGTGCGGCTCCTCATACACAGCTCCTCATTGTAAGAGCACTTTCTATGGGAGCCTCAGCTCCTTAAGGTAATTTCCCTCCCCCAGACCAAGAGCCCCACCTGCATGGTTTACCCCATGCAGCCATACTATCAGCACAGCATCAGTTCAGGGATTGCAGCCACTAAACACTTGCTGAATGGTCACAGGACACCAGCAGGTAGCTCTGGGTGATGGCAGGGTGAGACGGTTTCAGAGAAAAGGGAGGAAGCAATTAAATTCTAGGATACCCTTTAGCAGTCCAAGAATAAGAGTATGAGACTCCGATGCTGGGAGTAAGGAGGAAGGAAGGTTGGGGACACCTTCATAACATGGGCTCAGGTTCTAATGGACAAAATTTGCCTCCCCTAATACTCTCTGTAATTAAGGGCCAAACTGATTGGCACATGGATCTCATGTAACCACACAGCAATGAAGCCTAGCCTTCATTTACTACGAAGATTACAGATACGCAGTTGGGAGGATGTAGACATGGGAATGGGAGACAGGGAGGGAGGAAGAGAGAGAAAGTGAGAGATATTCTCTTTTCCAGGGACTCTTGGAAGGACAGCCACTTACCAGTTCCTTCTTGAGCCAGGTTATAGCTGCATCAATACTTTCAAAGCCTTCCAGCTCGTCAGTGGCAAGGGGCCACTTGCCCTGGCTAGCTCTCCCATTAGGTGAGGAATGCTGCCTGGGCTCCCTCCGTGTGAGCAAGGACTCCTCCCCACACTGCCTCTGCTCCAGGCTGGCCTCCTGCTGTGAAGCTGGCCTGGGGAAGGTCCATGTCTGCTCCTGTAGCTTGGCCTGCCATTCCAGGTAGGAGGGCCTGCGTGTCTCAAGCCTCAGTTTCTCAGTGAGGGCCTTCAGGCTCTGGAGGTGGTCATCCGGAGGCAGGGCTGTTCCTGCTGGCCCTTCCTCCCCACCCATTTCTTCTATTTGGATCAGAGGCACAGACATTTTATCTTCTGCCTGGGCAGCCAGACATGGGAGGTGGTGGGGGGCAGTGTGGAACTCTTGGTTGGAGGCCAGGTTGGGTCCTGCTCTGCGATGACCTCATCCAGCTGTGGCCAAGGCTCCTGAGAGCATTGCTAGGATGTGAGTGAGTCTCTGAGGTGGGCAGTTCCCAGATCCAGAGAGAGACTGTAGACTGAGCCCCAGAGAGTGCCCTAGTGGTGTCCTTCCTGAGGTGTAGGCAGATCAGAGGCAGCTGGCCCAGGAAGTAGACCCCGGAGCTCCTGCCCCATGGAGAAGGACAGGTGGTGAGGAGCTGCTGGCTGATGTGGAGACTCTGCCCAAGTCCCTGGCCCTGGAGGAAGAATGAGAATGATGTCAATACTAATCCCTCACCGCACGAGGTCTGTTATCCTATTGAAGCTCCCCAGCCACAGGCCCATTCCAGGTCCATTCCATAGGATGGGTAACTGAGGCTCAGAGAGGTTAAGTGACAGTGGCAGAACCTAGGGCTTCTAATTTCTAGTTCAGGATGAGAAGTGGGGCAACTAGATGCAGAGATGCCCCAAATTCATAATAAATTAACATTTGTACAGTGTTTTACCATTTATAAAATAATTTCAGCTCTATTATCTCATTTAATCCTCACAGAAAGTCTGTAGTTAGCTTTCTTTAATCCCCACTTTACACAAAGAGCAGAGTCTTGGAGAGTTAGATGACTCATCTGAGAGTTCCCAGCAAGTAGCAGAGGGACTAGCCCAGGTCTCCTCTGTGCAGCAATTGCTGACTCTGGCCACTCATCACCCCTACCAACCACAGGCCCCATCCTCAGCCCAGCTCTTAAAGGCTCACCATACCCCACACTGTCTCCAGTTTCTTCCTCTAAGAACAGCACTTTACCTAACCTCTTCAGAGAAGGAAGCAAATAAACTTTCAGCAGCTGAGGGGAAGGAGCTGACTGCATTCAAGTTTGATCGTTAAACCAATGAGGCTTGTGACTCACCAGTCTAGAAAAATGGTGCTCATGTTTACCTAAAATGCCCACACAGCAGCAGTCTCCTAGCGAGGAGTGATCTGATTTGGTGTCCCCACCTCTGGTGAGAAGGTATAAACCAAAATTCCTACTCCATGTTAGAGCACAAGGAAGATATATAACCTAGTAATGTTATAATAAGACCTCGAGCCTCCCAGCGTCATGCCCTCTCTCCTTTGTGTTTCTAGGTCCACAGAAGACCAAGTAAGTGGATATGGGTTTAAATTAGAGTAGAAGACATTTAACCTAGACCAAGAGTAGAAGTTCTTGACTTTCAGAGTGATTTTTAAAAATCTGTGCTGATGAAAATGCAGCTGTCCAAGAGAATGACTTGATACAGACTGATGGCTAAGATGAAGTTTAACTAAAAAGAGCAAGGTGTTCAGCAGCCTGGAGCACATGCCTCATTGTGTAAAAAAAGGAGAAAGAAGAGATATTTTTATTGATCTGGGCATGCCTAAAAAATTCTGTGCCAGGATTAAAAAAACTAATAGATGTGATTGCTGGTTTGGGGTGATGGAAACTGGGCAGATGGGGTACAAGCACAGGAGGGGTAAATAACTAAGGAGGGAGTGGCAAAAACTAGGCTGGGCCACCAAGGGGGGTGGTGGGATTCTCTCCAGCATGTGCATGGAGATATTCAATAGGAGCTGAGTGTACCTTCTCTTGCTTTCTTCCTAGAACCTGCCTACTGCTCTGGGCATCCCTGGGGAGTGAGAAGGAATATTTCACCCCAAGTGATAGCAAAGGAAGCTAGTTCTCAACTCTAGCTGCATATGAGAATTCCCTGAGGAGCTTTTCAAAACACTTTGATATACAGGCTCCACCCTCCCAGGTTCTGCTTCAATTGCTCAGGGAGTGGCACTCAGTTATCAGCATATGTTTAAAGCTGCCCACATGATTCTAATGTGCAGCCAGGGTTAAGAACTACTGGTCTCGAGAGGAAAAGGTTAGACTTGGGATCGATGACCTAGCTTTAAGTCCTGCCAGGCTCGCCAAGCCTCAGTTTCCTGATCTGTAAAATGGGGGTGATAATACCAATGGCCAAGTCTCTTGGAGATTGGCAGAACCAAGGTTTGTATACACTTTGTAAATTGAGCATGCTCTGCAAATATGGGGACTTCTCATGGCGTCTTTCTGTAAGGTCTCACAGTCACACAGGCTTCTTTAGAACTTCAAATTCAAAGACTTACTAGCAGCTTTCTGGGGCCTCTCCCCGGGCATGGTCTGCCTCTTTGCTGTGGTGCCAGAATCTGGTTTGAATGTGGCTGGGGGAGCTCTTTACCCCACAGGGCTTCCTTCCTACTGGCAGGGGAGCTCCAATTATTTCAGTGAAGCTTTTGGGAGAGGATCCAATTTCAGACAAACCGATGAGCAATGAGAAGAGCACTACCCTCTCTACAGTCCTTCTGTGAGTAGATAAAATGAATGGGAAGTTGAGTTCTCCCCTCCCTCTACCCCATGCACACTTGCACTGAAGAGGAGAGGAAGTGCTGTGGCTGAGTCACAACTGTTAGGTGTTTGAGGTAGGAACAGCTACTGCTCTGTGACTTTATGTGACTGGGTCAGGTAGGGCGAATTTATTATCATTGTGGTTGTTAGCTGCCATTGAGTTGGCCCCTACTCATGGCAACCGCATGTGTTACAGAGCCGAACTGCTCTATAGGGTTTTCTTGGCTACAATCTTTATGGGAGCAGTTCATCAGGGCCTTCTTAAGAGGTATTGCTGAGTGGGTTCAAACCACCAACCTTTAGGTTAGCAGCCAATTGCAAGCCACTTACTTGTGCCACAGTTTCTAAATCAGTTCAGGTGGGCCTGCGAAGACAACATCAGGAATACTTCGAGGCATTACCGGGAGTGCCAGTGAGCTGTGATTCAAATATGGATCAATTTGATGCTTTGATCTGCTGAGCCTATGGAGTGTGCAGAGCACTTGTGTGCACCCTGGCTCTCTTGCACCTCTCGGTAGTCCTGTGGAAGAGGCAGGATTACCCATTTCATGAATGAGGAAACCAAGGCTGGGAGAAGTTATGTGACTCACCCACGGTCAGAGGCAGGTGCCAACAGTGGGACATTCCCACAGAGTAGTCTCACTCCGCGTCAGAAGAGCTTTCTACTACAGAAGAGCGTGGGCCTTGGAGCCAGACACGCACGAGGCAGGGTCTAAGTCCTGGTCCTACCACCCACCTCTTCTATGATCTTGGGAAGGTCATTTAATAACCACTCTGTGCTTCTGTTTCCTCTTCTGAGAAATGGGGATAATCAGGACCAGCTACATAATTTGCAGAGGCCTAGGGCAAAATGCAGTAGCCTCGGTGGTGCAATGGTTAAGCACTCAGCTGCTAACCAAAATTTTGGAAGTTCGAACCCACCCAGCAGCTCCTTGGGAGAAAAGACCTGGCAATCTGCTCCCCTAAAGATTACAGCCTAGGAAACCCTATGAGACAGTTCTACTCTGTCATATAGGGTCGTTATGAATCAGAATATACTCAATGGCACACAACAACAACAACAACAGGGAAAAATTAAAGCGTGGGGCCCCTTGCTAAAGCATTATAAAGGATATCAAAATGGTGACAGCAGAGCCTTAAACCAGCATGGGACTCTTGTAAGCATGGGGACCTTTGTGACTGTACAGTCCTAGGCCATGAAGCTGGCCTTGGGATAATAATATCAACATCATAGGTCCTTGTAAGGATTAAATAAGGTGGCAAATATAGAGCACTTAACATGAAGCCTGGTATACAGTTAGCCTAGAAAAACGCACACTTTTAAAAATGTTATTGTTGAGGTTATGATAGCCATCAATCTACATCACAGTTACATTACCAAACCAACCCATTTTTATTCCAAAGAGTAGTAATCCTGTTGGTTCCTGACCTGCTGGGCAGCCTAGGCCAGTCTCTGTACCCTTAAATTCTTCCCTGGAAGCCAACTGAGACTAAGTCAGCTCATCCCATCTTCCCCTAATTTTCAGATCTAAAAACTACAATTTCATCATATCATGAACAGCAGGTCTGCCATAGAAAGAAGAGAAGAACAGTACTAAAAAAAAGCCACTCTGTACCGTACTCCCTTCCCTCCCTGTTCATATGTTTATGACACAGTTTGGGCCATCGAGGCTAAGGCAGGTTTCATAGTGTTATCCACAGGGTGAGATCAAGGCGAGGAGCACTAGGCCAGAGACTACTGCTACTTACACGCTGTGCCTCCAGGGCCAGCCCACTCCTCTTCTGGGCTTGGTTTCCTCATCTGTGCAATGGCACTCACAATTCCCATGTCCTCCTAAGGGTGTTATGAGGATCAAATGAAATCTTGTATGCGGAAGCTCTCTGCAAACTGCAAGGAGCTGTACCTGCTTGATGAGTATTACTATTAGAAGGTATATGTGGGTTCTGAAGAAGATGTGAGTTAAGGACTGGCCATTTTAGAATGCCTGGTCACTCTAGCAGGCTGGGACCAGCCCTTGACTACCTCCTAGTGTGCCCAGCACACAGGTGATAAGCATTTGAGGAAAAAGCTCCATACTCCTGGTGCCCTGCTGTGTGCTCCAGTGCCCAAGGACCAGATCTAGTGGAGTTTCTTTGCTCCCATCCAGCTGGGCACAGGAGCTGATCTAAATGTCACTAGCACAGGTCACTGTGGAGGTGTGACAGGAGGAAGGAGTGGGCACTGAGCTGGCCCAGCCTGAGGTGGCAGAGGTGTGGGGGTGGGGAGATGTGGATCAGAGCAACAATGGATCGCTTCCTGGACTGGAACTTCTGAGGCATAGGCCCTGAAGAAAGAGCCGGCAAATAGGCTTTCTTTACATCTAAACTAAATCCTTCCTGCTGCCAGGTGAGCACATTTTCTCTTATTCTGGGCTGTGCAAAGGCAGACAGGCTGAGGAGGAAAGCCAAAGGGCACTGCCCAACCTTGGACCCAGGGCATCTGGAAAAACAAGGCCAGACCCTGTAATACCACGAGGCCTAG